CAGCCCCCAAGTCAGGCCAAGACAGAGGCAGCACCCTCTGACACAGATTCCTCCGTCCCTGCAGGCTGCCTTTAAAAATACCTCTAAGAGGGTGGTAGATATGGTCAGTGGGCAGCCAAGACAGGGGACCAAAGGTGGTGCTCCCGAGTAGGTTTTGAATGAGGGGCAGGATTGGTACTGTGCCTGTCCCAAGAACAGCTGTTCTGGAGCCAGTGAGGGAGGAGCTGAGTGGCTGCCTGTGTGGGTGTTGCCGGGGTTCCACCACCGTGTGTCTGATGGGGCTCGCTGAGAGCCTGGAGGAGGCACAGGTTTGGTGAGATGGGCTGCAGGAGTGGGAGGAGCTCCTGCCATGCACTTGACCCAATGCTACCCTGGGCAAGATCCTTCTCAGCCTAAGGGTTGCCATTGTGGGGTGTTTCATGAGGCTAACGGGACTAGGGACCCACAAAGTGCTCAGGAGCTATTTGTCACTGCTGTGATCATCATTCTCCATGTATGGCATCTCCTCTTCCAGACCTTCTGCCCCCTGAGGTGTGCAGTCTTCTCAACCCAGCAGCCATCTACGCCAACAATGAGATCAGCCTGCGTGATGTCGAGGTCTATGGCTTTGACTATGACTACACCCTGGCCCAGTATGCAGATGCACTGCACCCTGAGATCTTCAGTGCTGCCCGGGACATCCTGATTGATCACTACAAGGTGAGGCGAGCCCTGGAAGCCGGGGAGTGGCACCCAGCCTGACCTAAACCCCAGGCTGAATCATGGGACTCCCCTGACCCCCTGGGCAAGAGCTGGATCCCCCAAGGGGGCCACCCAGCCAGCAGGAATGGGCAGTGCTGCTGGCTGAGGCCTGGTCTTTTTTGCTCAATAGTACCCAGAGGGAATCCGCAAGTATGACTATAACCCCAGCTTTGCCATCCGTGGCCTCCACTATGACATTCAGAAGGTGAGTGACTAGATGTGGCCTCCTGGGCTCTCCTTGCCGGACATGTATGGGAACTTGATCCTTGCCCTCTTTTCCCCGAAGGAGAGTCTCATCTCTGCCCCCTTGATCTCAGCGCTGTAGCTTCCTCTTGCTTTTCACCTGCTCCCCTGAGGACCCTCCATGGCAGCTTTGTCATGGGGTCTAGCAGAGGCTGGCTCAGGGATAGGGTTAGGGACACCAGTGAGGTGTGTAGCCCCTCTGCTTCTCAGTGGCAAAATCTGCCTCCTCACTGCCGGCCTGCCCCCCGTGTTCCCCCAGAGCCTTCTGATGAAGATTGATGCCTTCCATTATGTGCAGCTGGGGACAGCCTACAGGTCAGTACTGACCTTGGCCTGGTCCCACCCCAGCTACCACCTTGCCCGGGCTCAGAGTGATGGTGTCTGTGCCCCCACTCAGGGGCCTCCAGCCTGTGCCAGATGAGGAGGTGATCGATCTCTATGGAGGCACCCAGCACATCCCGCTCTACCAGATGAGCGGCTTCTACGGCAAGGTATTCCCTTCACCTTGCTCCTGAAGAGGCCACATAGATGCTGGCTCCCCTCAAGGCAGTGCTGGGCCCTGACCCACCGCTGAGCTCTGCCTGTCCCAAGGAAGATTTGGAGCTTGTGGGCCCCAGTGCTGGGGTGGTGGGGTCAGAAGGATGGCTGAGCTGTGACCCCTCCTCAGGGCCCCTCCATCAAGCAGTTCATGGACATCTTCTCACTGCCGGAGATGGCATTGCTGTCCTGCGTGGTGGACCACTTCCTGGGCCACGGCCTGGAGTTTGACCAAGCACATCTCTACAAGGACGTGACGGTAGGGATTCTGGGACTGCCACTTAGCTGGCAGGAGAGCAAAGTCCAGCCATGACAGGATAGACCCTTCTGGACCCCACTGTTCTCTTACTGCACCCCCTCCTCCCGGGTCTTCCAGGACGCCATTCGAGATGTGCATGTGAAGGGCCTCATGTACCAGTGGATTGAGCGAGATATGGGTAAGGGTGTGCAGTACCCCTCCTTTGGCATGCCTGAGCAGGAGGCAGAGCTGCCCCTCACGGACCCTCTTCCCCCTCAGAGAAGTACATCTTGAGAGGAGACGAAACGTTTGCAGTTCTGAGCCGCCTGGTAGCCCATGGGAAACAGCTGTTCCTCATCACTAACAGTCCTTTCAGTTTTGTGTGAGTCCAGCCCCCCAGAGGGAGGGAGGGGAGGACTGCAGCCCTGGGAGTGGTGGCTGGACCGCCTGCAGCCTGTGCCTCACTTCACAGGGACAAGGGCATGCGGCACATGGTGGGTCCCGACTGGCGCCAGCTCTTTGATGTGGTCATCGTCCAGGCAGACAAGCCCAGCTTTTTCACTGATCGGCGCAAGTATGGGCCTGGAAGTGGGCAGTGGGATGGAGGAAGTGGAAGTCCCAGCCCCAGTGAGGGGATGTGAGGCACAAGGCCATGCTGGCCTTTGCTCCTCTCTGTGTCCGGGGTGAGAACGTTCCATTGCTAGTGGGCAGCCCAGTTGAGTCAGGGGGCTTGAGTGATGGGCTTGCAGCCAGTGGGGAGGCACAGACTGGAGACCAAGCCCTTGACTCTCACCCTAGGCCTTTCCGAAAACTCGATGAGAAGGGCTCACTCCACTGGGACCGGATCACTCGCCTGGAAAAGGGCAAGATCTATCGGCAGGTGAGGGCTGTCTGAGAGGACAGTGCCTGGCGGGGGCCTAGGCCTAACTGAGGCCCTGCACCGTGCGGCATAGCCCCATGGTGGCTGCTGGTCACCATGACAGAGGTGTTGACGGGGGAGCAGGTCTGGAGGTTCTGAGCCATGGGGCGAGGGTGCTTAGCTTCTCAGTCATGCTGCTGCCCGAGTTTGAATCCAGCTGTACACGGGAGCTCAGGGAGCCTGACCTAGTCGCCTTATCTCAGAAGCAGTGTGGCGTTCTCCTTGAGTTGTGATACAGAGACCTTCCACCGTCCTGCGTGCACTAAGGACCCAGTCGGTGGCACTGTGGTTAGTTGGGGCTGAGCAGTACCATGGGCAGACTCAGGGTGGGGATCCCCTTCCTGTCTGGCTAGGGAGATAAAAGGGGCTGGGCTGAAGCATTGGGTGGCCACAAATCGGAGCTGATTAAGGCATTTGGCCTTGACTGGAATGTGGAAATCCTGGCTGAGCAAGGCCTCTTAGGGGTAGAGATTCCAGAGGCCTTGGCACTGGGGGAAGCAAGCACTTAGCCAAAGGCAGTGTGGAGGTTCGCTGGCCTGGCCTGTAGGCAGTTCTCTCAGCGTCCTGCCTTGCTGCCCCCAGCCCCTCGGACATATGCTGGTCCCCTCAGTCTTGGCATCTGCCCATAGTGGAAGAAAGAAGGCACCTTTGCGCTGGGGATTTAGTTTAGTGCCATCACCTGCCTCACAAGTGCAAGGACCCGAGTTCGATCCCCAGTACCAAAAAAAAAAAGGCACCTTTGTAGGAATGTAAGCTTCTCTGCAGCTTCCAGGCAGTCTCTTAATCCCTGACATTCTGAAGTTTCTGTACACTGTGTGAGATTCTGGTTCTCAGGAGTCTCACCCTGTTCTCTGTCCCCTCTCCGTCTCCTGTCCCGCAAGATCCTCCCTTGCTCCAGGGTTCACAGCTTCAGCGAGTCTGTCTGCTTCTCACTTAATTTTTCCACAGCCACCCGTCCCAGCTGTCTTGCTCCTCTGAGGCTCCTGGGGACAGACATCTCTGCACTGTGCTTTACTGGGTGTACACCCTTGCTCCTGGGCCTGAGGGGGCTGCTGCACTTCCGGCTCTGGCCCTGTGACCTTTCTAATTGTGTTCAGGCCTGGCTAAGTGTTTCTTTCTCTGGCTTTGGAGCAGGGAAAGCCGACAGCCTGCCTGGCCAGGGATCTCTGCCATTGGTCTGCTGTTTGCCTGTGGGCTGAGGCAACAAGGATTTCAAAGCCTTTTGCTTTAGTGTGTGGGCCCTTCCCTTTGGTTTGTTTCTCATAAACAGGGACTTGATCTCTAGCCTGCAGTAGGGGTGAGGGTGTAGGGACGCGGCCCTTGGGGCTTAGGACCACAGCGCAGCCAGGCCACGGGAAAGGGCAGCCCGGCATCCGGAGGGCTGGTGCTAGCGGCCCCGAGGGAGCACAGTTGGCTCAGCAGCTCCCTCTCTGCTCCTAAAGGGAAACCTGTTTGACTTCCTGCGGCTGACGGAGTGGCGTGGCCCACGCGTACTCTACTTCGGAGACCACCTCTACAGTGACCTAGCGGTGAGGACAGGGCTAGGCCCCGGGGGCGGCCAAGGGTGGGGAGCTTCCGGCCGAGCTGACGCCAGTGCCACCCGCCCCCCAGGATCTCATGCTGCGGCATGGCTGGCGCACGGGTGCCATTATCCCCGAGCTGGAACGTGAGATCCGCATCATCAACACGGAGCAGTACATGCACTCGCTGACCTGGCAGCAGGCACTGACAGGGCTGCTCGAGCGCATGCAGGTGCAGGTAGTGGGCTGCCGGGAGGGGCCGGGGCCACAGCCTCCGGGCACAGAGTCACACTGTCTCCCTCCAGACCTATCAGGACGCGGAGTCGCAGCAGGTGCTGGCTGCCTGGATGAAGGAGCGGCAGGAGCTGAGGTGCGCACGGGGCAGTCAGGGCAGGGGTCCTGGCCCGGCCCCTCTGCTGTTCCCCTCAAGTGGCCCTTCTTCTCCCGCCCCAGGTACATCACCAAGGCCCTGTTCAATGCTCAGTTTGGGAGCATCTTCCGCACCTTCCACAACCCTACCTACTTCTCCAGGCGCCTCGTGCGCTTCTCCGACCTCTACATGGCCTCCCTCAGCTGCCTGCTCAACTACCGCGTGGACTTCACCTTCTACCCGCGCCGCACACCGCTGCAGCATGAGGCCCCTCTCTGGATGGACCAGCTGTGCACGGGCTGCATGAAGACACCCTTCCTTGGCGACATGGCCCATATCCGCTGAGGGTGCCTTTATTGTCCAGGACAGACCCCCGTCCCCTGCCCCGTCCACTCTGGACATCTGTCCAGAGAAGCAATAAAAGTGCTCGTCTCCCACATGTGCCTCTGCTGTGAGCTCAGCCCATCACTTGACAGCAAGGATCCTCTGGGTGTCAGGGAAGTCGTCTTCCAGGAGTGAGTCCTGGGAGAGGAAAGCCAGTTGCAGCAGGACCGGACGGCCCTGGGCCCCTTCCACACCCTCACACTCCCAGACTCACATCAAAGGGCTCGCAAAAGGCGTCATGGCTGCCAAAAACAGGGTTGGGGACAGAGACGAGGGTTGGGTTCCCTTCTTGCCATGGGGCGAAGTCATCGTCAGCATCTTCCTCTGCCTAAGAGGGATGACCGGTCTCACACAAGGTCGAAGGACCCTGACCCCAGCCACCACTTCTGTCCGCCAGCCCTACCTGGAAGGTGGAAAAGCCAAAGCCAGTGGGCTTGCCTCGGGCTTGGAGGTAGAGGGCTCCGGCCACCAGGCTGAGCAGTGCTCCAGTGGCTACCACAGCCCCCACACTTGCTGCTACAGGCCGGCGCTCGGGTGCTATCACTGCCCCCTGAGAACAAGGAGAGCGTCGCACACCTTGCCAAAGCGTCCCTCGCCCCTTACGGCTCCACCTTCTCCCCCAGACTCACAGCCTGTGGAGGTGTCAAGAGGGGGCTGGCGAGAGCATGGATGATGCCGTTGAAGGCAATGATGTCCCACACGATGACGTGCCTAACCACAACTGTCCCCGGAGGCTGCGGGGAGATAAGAGTCAGGCACTGCTGGTGGAGATGAGGCCTAGCAGGGTGCCGGCAGCAGCTAGACTTACCACAGGGGCCCAAGAACTGTTCTCAGGGCCCACGTCGCTGATGATAAGGCTGAGACCAGAGTGGGTAGGGAGCAAAGTACCCTGGCTGGCATTTGTGCTCAGGAGGGTGGTGTTGGAAGCGTGCAGCTCAAGGTCTGGGCCGCTCAGCGTCTGTGGGCGGAGGAAGGCCTGTTAGGTTGGGCCAGCCCAAGGGAGCAGAGGAGGCCTGTGGTGTCCATGCCCCTGCTGTACCGTGTTGTCCACAAAGGCTTCATTGACAGGGACAAAGAGTGTCTTGTAGGTGAGCTCATCGTCCAGGAAATCCAGGAAGTCCAGACCTTGCTTGGTAGCATTGGCATAGCCCAGCAGCATCTGGGAGGGTGAGAAGACGGGGCTGTGGGCAGGCTCCCTCCATGGGGATCCCAGCCACCTACACCCCACCCTGAGGCTGGCCCTCTGCACACCCCATAGAAGGTGGAGAAGTTGGCAGTGGCAGCCAGTACGTCAAGCAGCTTCCCGTTGCACGTGCTGATCCCATCACCCACAAAGCCGGCCCGACATCGGCAAGCCACATCTGCAGGGACAGCAGGTCAGTGACGCGGGGCGTTGGCAGGAAGGGGCAAAGTAGGGCGTGGGCTTGGTGGGGGCACGAACCTTGCGCACGGTAGCAGTAGGCATCCCAGCGCTCTGAGAGATTCTTGCGGGTGCCCAAACTGACCACACCTACCCGACCGTCACCGCAGTCTGCCGCCGGGAACACAACTGGGTGGGCGGCAGATCCGTCGGCCAGCCAGCCCATGAGGCACAGGTGGAAGCCCAGCTGCAAGGTAGGAGGGCATGCTGAGACCCAAGGCTCAACTCAGGGGCCCCCAAAGGCTTGGCTCTAACTCCTGGACTCACAAACCTGCTGGGCAGCAGAGAGCTGAGGGAGTGAAGCAAGTACACCCCCCTGGGCCCCACATGCCGCCTCAGCCTCTGAGAAGGTCAATCCATAAGGGACATCAGGGGCCTGGAGGTGGAAGACGCCGGCCCTCTTTTCTGCAGGAGAGAAGGGGTGGCATGGTCAGCCGGCCAGAACGCAGAGAGATGAAGCACCAAGCCAGAAGCAGGCAGGGAACACACCCTGGAAATGCAGGTCAGTGCACACGGCATCCGAGTGGCAGGGTGGCGGCCGGCCCAGGCAGCGGTCCACGGGTGGCTCAGCTTCTTCTAGACACTGTAGTCCGTCACCCACGTAGCCTGCATGGCACTCACAGCGCCGGGCGTTCTAGGGCAGGGAGGATAGTGGGTGTCCTCCAGAGACCAGGGCAGTGAGTCTGAGGGGCTGCCCCACCCTGGCCAAGTGGCTGTCCCGCCTGCTTACCGGGCCAGTGTACAGACAGTCGGCATGCTCGCTGCAGCCCCCGCGGTGGCTGTCTGCACAGGGGTTGCGGGCCCGGCAGCTCCAGCCGTCACCCTCGTAGTTGGGGAGGCACACACAGGTGACCACTGTGCCGACCTGGCTGCAGTTGGCATGCTCACTACAGCCCCCATGCCCATCCTGGCACAGGTCTGCCACTGAGGATGGACAGACAGTGGTCAGAGCAGGCGAGTGGAGAGAATGGGGTGCTTCCACCTGCACCACCCACGGTCACCTGCTTACCTGTGCACACACGGCCATCGCCTTCATAGCCCAGGCTGCACTCGCAGCTGTTGCCCGCACGGCACATGGCCTGGGGTGCACAGGGTGGGGTACACACAGGCTGCAGCTCTGTCCCCCAGGGCCCATCCCCACATGACCAGGTCAGTGCCTGTCCTCTTAGCCTCCACCTGCCCCAGCCACCCCTCAGGGCCTCCACCTGCACGTGGCGGGGCAGCCAAGTGTACACAGGTACACAGGTGTGCGGAGCAGGTACACTCACCCAGCTGCACCTCGCAGTGCGGCCCAGTCCACCCCTCATCACAGAAGCAGGAGCCGGAGCCCCCAAGTCCTTCATCACAGTGACCATGGGGGGTGCAGTGGCAGGCTGGGGAGAGGGACAGGCAGGAGGATAGAGGGGGACACACAGGCAAGGAAACTGGGGCAAGATGGGACAGGGCAGGGATGGCCCACCTTGGCATTGGGGTCCAAAGGCACCCGGGGCGCAGAGTTCACAGGCCGTTCCAGCAAAACCCGAATGACATCTACACTGCCCACTGCCGCTTATGCCATCCAGGCACACACCGTGGTCACTACAGGGGCTGCTGGGGCCACCGGGGCAAGCTGGGGGATGGGGTGTGAGAAGTGAGGTTGGGCAGGGGCTCTAATCAGGGCACCCATAATGCAGCCCAGCCCCCTGGTATCTGCCCCAACCATTGGCAGCTAAGCCCCTTCAAGGAGCACATACCTATGATGCTCCATACTGCTTAGGCCCCGCCAGGGCCTGGAGAGCACCCAGAGTCTCCAGCATTTCCCCAGCTTCTGCACCTGCTAAACCCACCCCCTGTGGCCATTCCCTGCAGGAAAACCTATTCTCTGCCCAGACCCCGCCCAGAGGACCCCAGTGCCCTTCCTTAGGGACAATGACCAGAGCTCAGCCCTTGCTAAATTGGAGGCTGGAGGAGCCAAGCCGGAGTCTGCACCCTCAGCCTGCTCACCTTGGCACTCACTGCCGTAGTGACCAGGACAGCAGCTAGGCTTCCAGGTGGTGGTGACACAGGAGCGCTGGCAGCCCCTACCCAGGCCTTGGGGCTGTCCCCAGAAGCTGGGCCGTAGCCATACACCGCCATGCATGAAGGTGCGCTGTGCGAGGCTCGTCCAGAGCTTCGAGTAGTAGCGCCAGCAGGCCTCAATGCTGCCCTGGGACAGGAGAAGTCCAGTCATGGGCAGCCTGAGCTCAGCGGTCCTTGGCCCCTGCCACCCCCTAACTCAGCCCCCAGTGCCTTACCTGCTCCCGTGAGCCCTCAGGACAGGGTGGCTCCAGCCCACAGATGCTGCAGGTCTTCTGGAAGGGGTAGAGGCCAACACCACAAGGTCAGGTGGATGCGGATGGGACAGATGGGCTCGGCCCCAGCTCACCCATCTCTGGCCCGTGGTCTCCCTCACCAGCCGCAGTGGCCGGGTCTCAAAGCGGTCACAGCGTGAACCAAGGCCTGGTGGCTCCAGCAGCTGGTCGATGCCGTAGGCCAGGCCACCCTCAAAGGCCAGGTACCGTTGTACAATCCGAGCATCATCTTCGCCCACCATGAGCTCACCCTGCAGGGGATGATGTGGGGCACTTGGGAGTAACAGGCTCTGCTACCCTCACTGCCCTTCCTGCCTCCTTAACCAAATCCTCTGCCCAGACTCACAGGCCTGCCACGGCCACAAGAGAAGGAGATGGGCGTCCCATGCATGGTTCGGAGTGGGCCCAGGTTGGGCAGGTCAGATGCCAAGGCCTGAACAGATGAAGCCACAATTGGAGCTGGGCGGGCAGGCTAAGCAGCAGGCAGTGGGGACCAGCCAAGGTCTGAGGAGCGCCCACCTCCACGTTGCGGATCACATGGCCACGGAGAATGGCTGCCAGCTTGTCCCGGTGGTCCTCGTGGTACAGCCAGGCCTGCCGATCCAGGGGCAGGGCCTGCAGGGCCGCGTCCGTGGGCCACAGCATCGTGAGGGGCCTGTGGGACGCATCTCGGAGCATGGGCAGGAGGCCAGACACCTGGGGTTGGGTTGGAGCAGAGACGTGGCCTTCAGCGACAGAGGCTGGACCACACTCGTCGGTGGCCATCCCAGGCCAGCAGCAGGCCCAGCACCCAGGATGCCTTCTACAGGTGCATGCGTGCACACCCGCCGTGAATGTGTAAGACTCACTAACACTGAACCCTATGGAGCCGACCTTTCCCAGTGAGAGACTAACAGCGGTAAATTAGAACCCCAACATGTGTCCTATTTAGAAGGTATTTAAGGGACACCGGGGAAAGTTGTGAGTTTCTTTCTGGGATTTTCCACATCAGGCTGCAGTCGACCCCAGGTAGCCGAAATTGGAGACAGTGAAACCACAGACAAGGGCGAATGCTGTACAAAGGCACACTTGCAGGGATACACTGGCACACACGTGTCGGGTCTGCAGGCTCACACACGGGTGTGGTCCAGTTTGCACAGACCTGCTCATTCCCAGGGGAAGGTGAGCAGATACGTAGGGGCAGTACCTTCACAAGGCGGCTGAAGATCTTGTAACCAAAGCTCTCGGCAGCAGTGGTGACATTGCTCTGGGGAAAGACCCTAGTGAGCAGCCGGGTCAGCGAGATGGGAGGACCCGGGGCCCCTCCTCATGCCTTCCTGCACGGGGGCCTGCGCTCTCATACCCGGGGGACTGCGATGGTATCAGGCTCCCAGTGGAGCACGTCTGGAGGTAGCAGGACACGGTCGATGAAGTGCAGGACTCCGTTCACTGCCTCGTGGTCGCTGCTCACCACCCGGGCAAAGTCATTGAGGTATATGCTGCCCTGCGGGGGGTGGGGGCGAGGGGCTGAATCCAGCTGATGGGGGGAGCTGGGCGTGGGTGTGTCGGGGACAGGGACAGAGGGAGGGAGGGA